TGAATTTAACAAATTATATAAAATTTAAAAACAAAATGAAAGTCCATTGTAATTTCAACTGTGTGAAGTTATTTTATTCTTTGTAAATACCTATACGAGCAACATCAATTTCTTAAAAACGAGTAAACTTTGTTAAACAAAAATCAATATTTAAAAAAAAAAAATGCTTTTTTGTGCAGTGTAAACCCTTAAAGTAAACTGAAATCAAAATAAATACTGAATGTAACTAATTGTAGTGATAAAGGAGTAATTTGTAAAATGACTTTCAAATAAATGGTTAGATTGGATGAACTGATATAATATAATGAATATGGTTTTAAACACAATACAAATCATATATTACATTAATTACATCTTTTATGCAAGTCGTCAATTACATTTCGATTATAATGTTTATTCTAAAGGCATGTACAATCGGAAAAGAAAAGAGTTACATTAAACAACAATCGGCTTTTTTTCAATGTTTAATGCAATTTGCGTCCTTAAAGGCTGGATCTCAATTGTCGTCTTAAGTTGTGTCGAATAGACATGCAAACTGTGGAGAATGATCCTCCAAAGTTTGATAATAGGACGTCTGTAATCTATAAAGATTGGCGAGTGATCTCCATTGTTAAAAATATACCTCTAAAGTAAAAGGAATACATGTCTCAAATGGAAGCGAAGAGATATTTAAATTACTCAATGGACCTATGAACTATAGCGAATTGATTTCTAAAATTTGACGTTCAAAGTATTATTATTGGTGGGTTGAGAACATGAACAGGTCGAACGTAGAAACACAACAGATTCTACATTATCAATCCTATAGAGAAAACACTATGCGCTTTCAACACATCAATTACGTTCCAATAAATATTACAATTTTTTTTCAACAAGACTAAATTAATTTTGTTTAACAGAGTAATATAATTTGTATATGTCGAGTGCTCTACTGATTTACCATAGATTTAAATATGTACATCCTTTACAGTTTTTAACAGAGGATCCCGCATAAGGTGTATCTACAATAAAGTAACGCTTCATTCAGACATAAAGGTTACTTAATGTTAGTGTAAGAATTATTGCACGCATTCATATATGAAGGTAACGTGCATTGTGTTGATGTCATCGCTTTAATAATTACTGCATACCCAGGAAGCATTCCGTTCCAGTCCTTAAAGTTTATGTTTAGACATCGATTAGTGTGCGTGCAGTGGACTAGAAATGTGTTCTTTATTCTTTTCTGCTATAAGGAGTATTATGTCGTCTGACTACCCCCCTGTGTAATCATTGATGTTCCCTGCTACCAGCATGAGGTAACACGTAACTCCACATTGATCAGCTTGAAAAGGATGTGGGTTTAAATCTGTATATTTATATAAACATATATATATATATATATATATATATATAATATACTAATTCTAGAAAGCAACATAATTTATTATCTCTAAAAAGATAGTTATTCCAACATACCGAGATTGTTTTAAATTGCAATATGAGGATGACAGTGATCTGGTTGTCGCAATATGAAATATTACAAAACTAAGTCAAGGTAAAACTAATCGATCACAAATATACTTAACAGTCATTTCGAATCAGAGGAAGACTTACACAGCCAAATAAGAGAGAAAACTTAAAAGATAAAACTACCTTATCGCAGTAATAATAAAAAGCAAAGCAGTTTGATATTGAATGATCGAGTTTTAATTTGGTTGAACGCCTAACTTTTTCGTTTCGCACAATGGATGAAAACTTTGGGAGGGTGCGTCTGAAGAATTCACTATTTTATGTCATTCAGATCTGATATCTTTGCATGCAGAACCACTAATTACACGACTACATTGTGTGGCTACCTATTAAGCTATAACACTGAAGTAAGACTTGGTGAAAAGGAAATATTTCGTTAATTTAAATGTTAACTAAAGAATACACTGGGGTAGTTTTTTGGAAATATGGGACTCATTGGTCGTGTTGGGTGCTGGTGGGTACGGGGTGCTGACACAGCAATATTTCAAAAGGTAGATCATATATTTAGCGGGATTACACAGTGGATATATATCAAAATTGATGAATTATAAGCAACTTAAATGCTGTTTCTGAAAACGCGATAGATAATATTCCTAGACTTGTCAATTATGGAAAAACTATTTGAGCAATAATGTTTGCAGGAATTAAAAAACATCACTGATTACCTTGCTAATGGTAAGGATCTAGGGATTTACGGCATTTCTTTAAAACTCTTAAAAATGTACAAACAATACTAGTCTCGTGCTTACAATAGATCCTCTATCTTTGTTGGGAAGCAGGTCACAATCAATGTCCAGTACATGAAAGACGCCAAAAGAGTTTTATCGTACCAAACTCTGGTGGCCGAAGTAAATTTTTCTCTTCACTTAGGATGAAAAACTTTTATCCACATAGCCCATACACATTTGAAGTGTCTTAATAACCACGTCTACCCCGAGTACAAGTTTGGCTTCCGAAGTTGTCATTAAAATTTTAGACAAGATATTTTCGTTACGTCTTTTGAAATATAAGTGTGAAAGGCATAGTCCTCTTTACATTAAATAGAAAAAATCTGACCGAGTCATTTGACTTTTAAAGGCGGCGTTGCCTGTTGAGAATCTTGCATCAAATAGTTTGTGTTCCAAGACTGCCATTTTACGAAAAATACACTCAAACCATTGAACATCAATGGGGCGGTTTCTAGGGTATTCCTAGTGAGCAGATGCATTGAAACAAGCCTTCTCCATTTTCTTCTCAATGTTTCTATAGCTTGTTTACAGGGATTGTGAAGATAGAATGCAAATCCATAACATAACTGATGGTAGGATTTTTAATATCACTTGCATTCGTGCAAATACCAATAAAAAAAAAGATTTATACTTTGTAAAATGATGTTTGCAGATAATGTCGACGTAAAATCATTAACAGGAGAAGGAATGAAGACGCTATTTTATAACGTGTTGTTGTTCGTCCATTGAAGATCGACGATGACCATCGAGTCGTCCAGAGACTGAAGACTTGCGCGGGTTTCTTTTGTTTAAAGTGACGAGAGTAGTGCGGCGTCAACCTCACTCTCTCGTCCGGCCACACCATATCCAGTGGCAAGACTCTACGTAAGACGATCAGGGATGGATACGGTTGCATGAATGATTATTGTCGGCGCCGTACGGGACTCCAACTCAGGGTTTAAATTCAGACTTTCCTTCTCTTAGATGAGTTGCCGACCAAGTTTAACGATTCTCATCCACCCGGGGTATTGTTTTTGCTTGACTTTGGCTAGAATGGAACTCAAGACCATTCGACTTGAGGCTTGCTTAGTTTAGACCATTCGGACACCCAGTCAACCACCAACTAATGTAAAGAGTTGGGAGAAACCAGTAGACTAAAAAATAAAAATGTCATGATGCAAGAAGCAAAGCTTTTCTAAATATAACTGTTAGCAAATGAAAGTTTAAACCAACTCGATTCCAACCTCTCAAGCTTGCTTAAAATTTTTCTACTTCAATGTCTGCGTATTTGATATTAGAACATGGTGCCCGTCTAGGAGATTTTGGACATTATACCAGTGGCTTAGAATGGTATCGGCTCTTAGCAAGATGCCCCTTTGCCAGTTTGGTCTTGTAAGAAAATGGAATACGGTCCTATTTCAAAGTATCTGCGGTTTGAAATGTTTGAAAAACTATTTTCCTATATGGATGCTGTCACAAGCTAGAAGAAAGCCACACCAAGAAAAAACACTGAAAAAAGTGCAGCTTAAGATGGCACGAAGCTCGCACGGAAGCTTAAACCTTCCTAGTTACGTCTGATTCTGATAAATGATGTGGTCATGAAATCCAGTCTCCTGGCAAAACCGGGATGAGCGCAAAAACATGGTGAATGCCAACCCGAACCAATATGGTAAATGTCATAATGGATGGTTCCTTCTTCGCTAATAAACAACCCAGCGAATCTGTGCGCACTTATACACAATGAGGTATAAATACAACAGAGAGGTTATCTGAGCCCAGGGGAAGGCATTAAAGAAATTTTGATGCGTATCTAGAAGCAATACTTGTCGCCTCCAAAAAAAATTGCGTGTACGCTTAACAAAGTGACAACCTTCACGGATATTGCAGTCTTCTCCGAAACATGTTTGACCATGAACCCTTGGGAAGGGGATCGCCTGAGGTTTCAGTGGTTAACGCCATTCTAGACACAGTATAAGACATACATGCACAAGGTGGAACGTTTTTACTTTATTTTTAGCTCTATTAAAATTAAGGTGAAGCAGCAGGTTATGGCCGATATCTTTGTGCAATGATTCAGGTTGGAGTTAAAGGTTGCCTAAAACACCTCTTCTGAGTAGAGTTGCTCAGAGTCCCGGCATCTGGCTGCACGGCATGATACCTGCATAAGATTGTGCCACGATCAAACAAGAGCGATCCCTGGTGGAAATTAAATAGACACGAATATAGCCAAGTAATGCAACTGAGGACTGATCACTGTGCTACACGCAGTTACTTGTATGGACAAGACTCATGTAAGATACTTAACTGCTGACTATGTCACTTGGTTACTGTAAAGGAGGAACCTTTGTTGGTCGGCTGCCCGGAGAACGGATATGTTGCATTTATCCCTTGCACTTACTGCACATGTACATTTCTAACTAGAATCGGTCTCAACAGTTATGCGCGAAGCCAAAGAGAGCATAAGAACAAAAGCGATTCCGATGATTAAAATGTTCTTGATCGATTTGAACAGAAAATCTACTATTGACACAACAATAAAATCTATAAAAGTAACGTCCATTAGAGATGATCTCTATTTGTATTTTTTTTAAAAAAAATGTACTGCTTATTCAAACATTTTTAATAGCTATCAAAATATTTCATACAGAGTATAACACAATTATATGAATTCAAAGACAAGCTAGGGCATATGTCGTCTTTACAATTCAATTTGTTTCGGCATAATCAGCGGACCCGTCAGCACGCATTGGAACGTAGATTTGCTCGTGCTTGTGCAGTGGCGTATGAAGGTGTGTTAAGGTTCTTGTCTGCTCTTGTTTCTTTATATTAGGAGTGACACATTTGGCCTCCCAAAGAGATTGCTTGTCTTTTTGGTGCTACGGACCTGTCTGACTGGGCGGATTATCTTTCTGATGCAATCGATATACAAGACAGAAACACATTTAAATGGATATTAGTTGATTGCCAGCATAGATCGAGGACCAGAGACAGAGCCTCAACTCGGTGAGCAGTCGGTATATTTTAGCTATGTTTCTTAATCACACTTTCTGACTGAATTTCAATTAATGTTCAATGATTTATTGTATTTTAAAGTAAGTTTCAACAATTACTCTCCTCTCTCCTCCTCTCCTCTCTCTCTCTTTTTCGTGCTCTCTTTTCTGTATCTCCTTTTCTTTTTCTAACTCCCTCTATCTCTCTCTCTCTCTCTCTCTCTCTCTCTCTCTCTCTCTCTCTCTCTACATTGAAGATTATGTATTCTAGGCACAAACATTATTTTTTAAATCTCTGTTGAATTTTAAAAACAAGTTGTATCAGTTTAATTTTAAAACGAATTTTTTAAAGAATTTAGTTTTGCAATCAAATTATGTTACAAAAAATTATAAATTAACACTCCTGCAACCATAACATTTTTTAAATAATTTATTCAAAACATTTCAGATACAGAATATAGTGTAAGAGACTCAATGTAAAATCGTGCTAATATCAAGAAAAATGAAACGTTCTATATAAGCAAAATATACTTTTTGAAAAATTAATCCAAATTTTAAACAAAATCGTTTAAGAAAAGGCATACCAATTATTTAAACTCTTAAGCGTCTGGTGTTTACAATCTATAATTTTTTAAAGAGTTGTTATCGTATTTTTTAAAACTTGCTCACATTTTACATGTCTTTTAAAAGTTTTAATTATTACTACTACAGAGACAGTCGCCATGGGAATGACACGTGTGATTTATATTTTATTTCTAACTTTTACAATTCTACCTGATGTGAGAAGTGAGGGTAAGTCATGGTATCTACTAAAATACCATTTTGGTAATATTTGAGTAATATGTGGATAATATTTGGGTACATAGGTTTGAGGAGAGATTATTTTCTTTTTAAATTAATGGACGTAAACAAATGCAACAAGAAATATAATAAAATAAAGACATCTTGCATGTGTATTTCTGTATTCGTTTTTATGTCAATTTTTTTTTGTAATTTGAATCGTTTATTGCGTGAAACTGGTTTGAATCAATTCATAAACTCAAGTAAAGTGTGTTAGTTGCTGCTATTCATTAACCTCATGTTAAATGTAATGAAGGATTCAAATGTATGTGTGTATATATATTTATATGTTGTTTTTTTTTAAACTGCATAATCGGTTTTTAAATTCGAGGTTTAAGTCAGGTATCTAAGAAGCGTATTTATCAGCCGCTTTCCGTGTCACGTCTGGTTGCAATGACAATGGAGGCAGTTGAGTAAACATTGGTGTCCTCAATTGTTATTGCTAAAGACCAAGTTTCATTTAAAATGCAGAAATAATATCACACATTTTATTAATCAGCTTATTTTTCCCTTATTAACGAGTATTTGCGTAATTTAGTTGGCTGGTTGTATCGATTATAAATGCAAAGTCACAATCCCATTCTTTGTCTAAAAAAGTGTTTATATAGTTGCATTTCTAGTGGCAAATCAAACACTTTTTTCAACATTTTAGCACGCATCAGCCATCTTACTTCTGCATAAATTGTAAGGACTGTAAGAATCTGTGTCCAAAGACTTTTGGAGTTCTTGGAAAAGACAGCGATTTAACACACGTATCTTAATGAAGGTCATTATTTTGACGACCTTTGTCATGATGTGGTCCATTTTGAGGGACAAATTTAGCATTGAAGTATTACCGATGCTGGTGCTGGGTGGCCGAGTGGTCTACACTGAGCAAATCTCAAGTTTGTGGTCTGGAATTCAATTCAAGCCACAGCCAGAGTCTCCGGTGCACAAGCGCCTGACAGGCAGCCTTGAGCCGAGTCGTCTAAACAGAGCAAATCTCAAGTTGTGGATGGGTTTTCAAACCCTGCTAAAGCCAAGTCCAGCAAAAAAAAAAAAAAAACCCTCACCAGCACGCCGTCGTCTTCCATAACAAGTGAAGTGAAGCTTTCAGCCCCCGTGTTGCCCTTATTCTGTCCTCGTCCATGGACCGATAGACCGGGTCAACTAAAATGAACACAAAAAAAAAAAAAAAACCCTCACCAGCACGCCGGGTAGATGGGACTCGTTAACCTTGGTCGGCAATTCATCTAAGAGAAGGAAACTCTACATTCAAACCCGGAGATGGCGTCCCCTACATGCGGCAAACCTCGAAACAATGAACCATTCGAACAACCCCTGTGACACCCGGATGTCATCACCGAGAGCGCAGTGAGCATGCTAAAATAGCATGGATACTTAGAACTATACAATCAATCATCAATCAATTTAGATTTCTCATTTTCCATCAATTTTACTAAACCTTCCTGTTTCACAACAAGTGCTGGAGCGCCATCCATTTACCAATAACGATTCAATGTCGATGCAACTGCCTCTAACAAATCTTGTGACTTAGTAGTGTCCTTAAGTGTATATAATAACGCTAATTCCACTGTCTTTTTAAAATGGACATCAACACCCCTAATAGTTGGACAGTATCTTCCATATCTGTGCTCTAATCCAATGCTAGAGCATAGAATAAAAATTCAGATGATCGACTTTTTAAATTATCTTCAATATGTTTTCCAAAGTCGTCCAAACATTTGAAATCTCCTTAAATGCAGGATAATTAATTAGACTAGGTCAAAACCAATGATTTTTTTTAAATGCGAGATATTTCAAATTTTTCTTAGTTTTAATTAAAAAATTATGATACGAACGCCTAATTATGTTATGTTCTTTTACTGATGTGTACAATAAAGTTTACATTTATTTTCAATCTACCTAGCTTTGCGGGCCACAATATGACTGAAGGCATGCCGCACGCTGCCCGCGGGCCTCATATTGGCCACCATTAATCTAACAATTTCATTAAAAACTCTAAAATATGTTTTAAATTGTACTAAAGTACAGTAATTTTATATATGTCTTTTAGTGCCATGCAAGTGGAAAGATTCCATTCCGTCTGAAGGCGCATGTTTCCTGTACAATACATCAAGTCTTTCCTATGATGATGCCCAGGTACACCTTTTTTTTTACCCTTGTTTTCTTTATATGCATACTTACATAAGTGTGCCCTGGTCAGGTGTATGGACTGCAGAACAAAACAAATAGATTTGGTTGGGTTCAGGATATAAAAGATATTTATAGATCCCGCCACGCAACAGGACGTGTTTTTTGTTTAACAGTTTTGATTTTAATACAACATTTTTTTAAAAATATTTGTTGTTGTTGTTTTTTTTTATAAAGCACAGATTAGTTGGATTATTAAAATATTGTTTCAACATAGCCAGTAGGCTTTACATTTCTTGTCCACGAGGGTTGGGTTGATGTTGTATTTACTTGTTGATGTTTTTTTTAAAAAATCTTCTTTTACTGTTAAATGTTGTTGTTTTTTTTTGTCGATTCCGCCATTTATGAGATGAAAATAAGACAGAATTGAGAAAATCAAAACTCTGCATTCCCTCAGTCATTTTATTGAAATACAGAATTATAAAATGAATATAAAATGTCTACTTCAGGCTTCATGTCAATTAATTGGTGGACTTCTGGCAAAGGTGACGACCAGGACGCAGTTACTTGATTCAACCATAAATGTAGACAACTGTGAGTCATAGAATATAAGGAGTTGAATTATTATTCTGTCAACGTTTACCCGGGAGCCGTCACAATGAGGTACAGATCGTGATCATCCGCTTAAGCCCTGCTGAAAATGTATGATAACGTCTTTAACACAGTGGATGCAAAGTCTATGTTGTCATCCTCTGGGCCTTAAACTGGTGTCCCTGCTATTGTTAAATTACAAAGCTGGTTGATTGCATATTTATGAAAATCTGGCCGATATAATTCGTTCCCTTTCGGCCGATACATTTCCTGATTCATACTGCATCAAATGGTTAAAATGTGTTATCTGCTCGACTTAAAAAAAAAGATTTTTCAGAGTTGTATCTTCAGGCTTATACGCAGAGCTCACTGGTTAGGTTTGGAATAAAACACTCTTCATTCACATCTGATTTAAAGTGTTTACTTATTTGACATAGTCTTAATGCGTTGGGTTGAAGAAAGGGGGTGGACTATTTTGTAGCTGTGTATATTAGCAATATGCACTAGAGACCGACCGAATTTCGGCTTCGGCTTCGGTTTCGGCGCCGAAGGTGGCCATTCTATCACTTTCGGCCAAATTTTGGTTTTGGCTGAAACTAAATAGTTAACTTTCGGCTTAATTTCGGTTTCGGCCGAAAGAGAAAAATTAACTTTCAGTTTTTTTTCGGTTTCGGCCGAAATTGACTTAGACTTTGGGCAATCCGGCCGAATGTGACTCAGGTTTTCGGTCATTTAATACTCAGCGAAAGCGATATTTAACAACAAACTAAGCAACATTTAACACCAAACTAAACGATCTTTAAAACAAACTAAGCGATCTTTAAGAACAATCTAAGCGATCTTTAATAACAAAATAAACGATCTTAAAGAACAAACTAAACGATTTTTAAGACCGAACTAAATGATCTTTAGGAACAAAACAAATTATCTTTAATAGGTAACTAAATGATTTGTAAGAATAAACTAAAAATCTTTAACAGAAAACTAAATGTTCTTTAGGAACAAATTAAAAGATCTTTAAGCACAAACTAATCGATCTTAAGGACCACAATCAATTATCTTTAAAAACAAACTAAGCGATCTTTATGAAAAAACTAAGCGATCTTTAACAACAAACTATGCGACCTTTAACAACAAGCTAAGTGATCTTTATGAACAAACTAAACTATCTTTAACAACAAAATAAGCGATCTTTAAGAACAAACTAAGCGATCTTTAAGAACAAATTAAGCGATCTTTGAGAATAAACTAAGCAATATTTAGAACAAAGGAAGTGATCTTTAAGAACAAACTAACCGATCAATAACAACAAACTATACGATCTTTATAAACAAATTAAGCGATCTTTTAGAACCACATTTTTTAGAGACCCGCTTTAAAAAAAAAATAGTTTGCATTAATTCCCCCCCCCCTCCCCCCCAATTTTTGCCAAATTTTCTCCTACCATACTAATTTAAAAAAAATTGCAAAGCAATTTAAATTACTTTTATATTAAAATGGTAAATTCCATTTTATGCATTAGATCAAGGGTCTCAAACTCAAAACAAGGGGGGGGGGGGGGGGGGGACGGGACAGAAGGTAGTGTCTGAATGAGAGTGGGCCGCATCAAGTAATCCACAAAAAAGCGATTACAACTGTTACGATCTGCTCGACATTTATAAATAACAATAAAATCATTAAGGGTTCTCAAGAACTAGGATTCACTTTCATCCACCTACTCACTGTTGCATACAAAAATATGTATTAACATGAAAAAAAAAAACAGAATTAGACTAGTCGTGAGATTTGACTGAAACCGTCGCGGAGAGTCATGTTATAGATTTGAGAATGGGGGAAACGGGCCGGCGCATTTACACTAAACTTTTATGTCCTGTAGCGGGACGCAAAATATCGTCTTGCGGGTCACCAATGGCTCGCAGGCCGCGAGTTTGAGACACCTATATTAGATGTTTATTTATTAATATTTACGATTATCTCATTTTTTATAAAAAGAATGTAAATATTTATACTTTCCCAAATCACTTTTATGTATGCGGGAACGAATTTCAAAATATCTTAATATTTCATATTCGGTTTCGGCCGAAAGTCATTTTTAAACTTTTGGCACTTTTTTGGTTTCGGCCGAAATCAGAAAATCACTTTCGGTCGGTCTTTAATCTGCACACTTTTCCACCATGAGCTATTTCCATTTTTCCGTCTGAAGCATATATGCTTCCCAAACTATAATTTCTGATTGGCCATATTAGCACTGGAATTTATGTCCAGTTTATTTGGACAAGCCTTTTTTACACATAACAATCAACATATGTGCTGATAGATGTTGGTTAAGAAGAGTCATACGAAATGGCTGTTATCGTAAATGAAGTAAATGGTCAAGTTTATTTAACATTCTCCATTTCCCGTAGAGCTTTGTTTCATTCTGTGTGCCTTTTTACCACGTCTGGGGCATAGGCCGTCCACAACAATTTTCCATCCATCACGTTGTTTAGACCTTTATATCCTTTCTTGTACATGTTAATTGATGTAGTCAAACTGTTATTTTTCTCATTTACTCCTCTAACTTTCAAATTTAGCAACGTTTTTTGACAAAATTTCTCTCAAATTTAAAATATTCTAATAGTTTTAAGACTTTGCCGTTAAAAACTCTTTTAAACACTTGATAGCATTTGGGCATTTTTCTCTATATTATTTGGTCATTCTCTCTCTATTACTTGGTCATTTCTCTCTATAGTAGGTGGTTATTTCTCTCTCTGCTCGCGACGACGATTACATAAACCCCACCACAAAATCAAGATTTTCCTGAAATTGTAAAAGAGATTGGTTATAACAAATGTGTACCCCTCAGTCTCAACATGTGCCTGATTGGTTTCTTTCTTTAATTTCTTGTACGCGTTCAGGCGTCTTGATCACAATGAATTGAACGCACGTTCCTTTTACAGTTCAAATGCACATTTTCATCCAGAAACATACAGTGGATTAGCAACATGTAGAGCGTTCCTAGTAATAAGTAGAAGGATGTAGTGCAACCTTCATCCACATTGATCTCTCATCAACTGCTAAGCTAACTGCACATTTAGCAATGACATGCTAGAGAAACCACGTCATTGCTACAATAATAAAACGCAAACATAACACAAGCCCAGAGGCGGTATAAGCGTTCATTAACACAAGAAACACCACGCACAACACAACACAATATTTGGTTCGTCAAAATGTCTGGTCAATACCCATAATCGACACGACACCCTTCAAAAACTTACAACCCCCACCACCACGCCCCCCTGTCTTTCCTTCATTTGCACAGGGGAGAGAAATAGGTTTAGCTGCATTAGACAAGACATTAGGCGAATAAAAACATATGTCTTCCGACTCCTAAATATTTACCCAACACACTAGGGTGAACAAACGTCACGAAAAAACGGTATTGTCCCGTTTTTCACGATCGTACCGATGTGTCCTTCGGGGTGCCTAAATTTTACCATTTCGAAAACTAGTTTTAAAATCACTAAATTTTCATAATTTATAATATAACTTCAAGTAATATTTCGGCTGGCTGTGTAGCCAGTAATGATATGGGCTCGCGTGATGGCTGCACTGTCCCCCACCCCCCTCCACCACACTGCCGTCGATGCGTAGTCGACGGTGTCCCTGTAATAGGTCTTACTATTTTGCAAATTGTGTACCAATAAATAAGTATTCAGTGAAAAATAATTGTTTTCGTTTATGATATGCTTAAGAGTTTAAATAAAATTACAAATCTTAAGGTAAAATAAAAGGATTTCTAGGACTCAAAATAGTTAAAATGAGCATATGTCAACCAACAATTTCCCGCGGAGATCTCTGGATCATTATTTAGCTGGAGGGTATCCACCTAAACTGTCCTTGGGTGTGTCCCGTTTTTTTCCAATTCATGATTTGGATACCCTACCCTACACCACCTATCGGCTTTTCTTTTGATGCTATCTGATGAGTCTTGATTTTTACAGTTATTAAAATATTTCATTGCACCATTTTATTATACGACCGAGCTCTATTCGTAGAAAAGATTGTTGTGAACTAGATTGCAGTGAATGTTTGGTAGAAGGAGTACTTGAGTTAGGAGTTAGGAAGTCCATCGGAGATCTTCGAGATTTAGAGTTAGAGTGAAGAGATATTAGTAATTAATTTTAGGCTCACTTTAGGGCCTGAGGCCTGATGATAGTATTTTTCTGCTGCATGAATTATGTAGCAACTGTGTTTTATAACAAATGGCTGTTTTATTTCACTGAGATAAAACACAATTTACTATGGACTATTTAATGTTTGAGTTACATTACTAAGAGAGAGATGAGAATTACTCCAACAGGTCTGACGAAGGTTTAGACATAGTATATTCGAAATCGGGAGTTGATGAAAACGAAAGAAGGCCGTATAATTTAATAGATTAATAGACAATGAAAGAATTATTGTTTGTTTTGATACTGCAGATATTTCAGTGTGGATCGGTGCCAATGATAAGGCTGTAGAGGGAACATGGATTTGGGAAGACCGCAGTGTTGCTACTGAGCTGTACGAACTTTGGTCTAAATCTAAAAAAGAGCCAAGCAATTCAACGGCCAATGAAGACTGCGCAGACATCTATAAGGACGATGATGAACTTGATATGTTTGATGACCCATGTGGCGAGCTTTATACTTTTATGTGCATGGAGAAAGGTACTTAATTTATTAATATATAACTACATTTTGTTCGTTATAGTCAACATAATGTAAAGAATGAAACACATACGACTTTCCATTTACATATTACAAGTCACAACATTTTTTCTATTATCAGTGAATAGCATTTATTAAGCAAACAAATAAATCTGGCTTACGAAAAAAAATCATCCATTATCATGCTATTATATTACAATTTATAAACATTACATTAAAAATAAGAAATCCAGCACAAAGACACCACATGGGAATAAATCAATTAAATATTATAAAACGCTAACTTGGTTTAATGATAAATATACATGAAAAACAAAAATTGCGAATGATAAAAAAAAATCAGAAAAAACATTACGTATTTGTGATCAAATATATTTTTCCTATTTTAATGAGAATGCGTTTTAGATAAACGTTGCACGGTTCCTACGTTTAGTTCACACGATACAATTTGGGTAATTTTCTCGTCGAATTTCGTTTTTAAGGCACTATGTTGTAACAGAATCGTGTTCGTCCAAAAAGAAATTTGAAGAAAATTTGACCGTGGAGGCATCAATGTTGTATTACCCAAACACTGGTTACATACTTAACAACAATTCCGTCGCGCAAGTGTAAACGAGATGATCTAACTTCATTCTAGAAAAGGTATGATACATTTCAGCAGGGTCAGAATCGAAAGAAACTTAACTTTTTTTGTTTCATATACTTGACAGTTGAAATCACAACTCCTTATCAGGAGGCTTCTACAAGCACAACAAGCGACCCAGCTGCAACTGTACCTACAACCAACGACTCTGCCACAACCGAACCTACAACCAACGACTCTGCTACAACCGAACCTACAACCAACGCGATCTTAACCTCCACGTCAACAGGAACATGCCCAAACAATTCGGCACAATTCATCGAGTTTAATGCTCTCTTATTATATCTTTTTTCCGTGGTCATTTACCTAGTTATTTGAAGCTAAGTGGATTGTTGCGAGTTTATACATTTTTTGCAAGACAGGAACTCAGTTTTTGATTTGAGATATTAATACAACAATTTCTAAAGAATACGTGGCACATACAGTGTGCACGACATCTATTATTTAGCTTTTTGAAATTTAATGATTTGTTTCTTTTTAAATATTTACCCTTTTTTATGCTAGATAGTAAATTATTTGCTTGCTTTAAAAGAATTTAGAGCAATATTTTTCAAAATCTGAAGATAAAAACAAATTAATATATGATTTACATAAGATGCTAATAATGTCAAGAGATTGCTCAGTGACAATTTTCAAGTTATTCATTTCAACCGATTTCAACCCGTGCCTAAATTTGGTTCGAAACCATATTGTTTTATAAAATAGGTGCGATGGAATTATGTTTAAACCTAATGCTAACAATGTTATATTGCCCATATGACAATACTTCTTAACATTGCTAAATAATATTTTGTATGGCCTGCCGCTGCTGATTGAATAATTGATTCATTCCAGTGTTCACTCATCATACTCATTTGTTTCTCTCTCTCTCCCTCTCTCTCCCTATTCCGTTCTCTCTCTCTCTCTCTCTCTCTCTCATTCTCTCTCTCTCTCAAAGAAGTGATAACGTACAATTGTATACGTCACAGTACTTTATTACAGTGAGTGAAATAGTTAAAAGGTCAAATAGTATGTCTTGCTAGGAGGATATCCTTGAAACAATTGTAGGATGCACTCAATAAATACACATTTTCAATATTACATCTCATAATACTTTAATAACCCATACGAGAAATGAACCAAGATCTCTCCTACCTTTTAGAAACAATCCTACCCTACTCTCTTCTTAAGTGTGTATTCTACTTCCGCTATAAAATATAGTTCCCTTTCATCTCGTGATTTCATCAGTTTCATAAAATCACTACGCAACTGAATCTTGATTATAGCTATTTGGGTTGTGTCAAAAACACAGTTAACTTGGTCTGTTACAAGAATGCTGTTTTTATTGAAATAATAAAATGGAAATTTTTTTTTAAAATTTTACTTTAAAATAATTGATGTCAGGAAAATTTTGAAAATTTAAATCGTTCGGTAAACTTAATATTTTGTCGAGTTATTCCTTCCTTAATTGATGGCTTGACTCAATATGAAGGCTTAGACAAGCTGTGAATGATTTTATTTCAATCATCTCTTATTTTACCTTTTGTTATTCACACGATTTAAAGGAATTTTAACCAGAACCAATGATTTATTTATAAATGAATTTCTTTAAATTTTACTTTCATGTATTTACTTTTATTGATTTAACAAAATGTTTGCAATGATTAATAAATGAAACACTGAGATTCCCCCCCCCCCCCATACATATTTATTTGCATTTTTAAGTATTTTATTTAGAAATTTCCAATCATGTACTAGATGATTCTTAAAAAAAACTCTGTATTTGCAACGTCATGATGTGAAATAATAGCAGATCAATGTATCTTTTCAGTATTGATTCCATAATTAATTTAAAATAAACTCTACCAAGATGTCTCTTCTCAATTAAATTGATCATTCTTTTCTGAATTTGTATTGATTTCTTTTTCACTGAAGACATAATATATTATCTGTTTAATTTTTTTTTTTTTTTTTTTTTTTTTTTTTTTTTTTTTTTTTTTTTTATTTATTTTTTTTACAAATAATAAACACTTTTAGTTTTAATATGTCTGCATTTTTAATTTAATTATAATTTTATGTCAGTTTGATTATGTGGTTGCGTTTTTATGCGCAATTTAATTAACACGAGGTCAAAGAAAAACAAAAAATTCGCAGCATTTGCCTCTCCGAAACATCTAATGCTTTTTTCTCTAACGGATTTTGTCAATAGATGTGTTTTCGGGAACAGACTATAATTCGGCAGTAAAGGTCGCTGTTATGGTCTAGCCTTTTAAAGTATGTTACCATGAGTTTGTGTTCAGTACTAAACTGTGTCACAATGCTCTGCGGCCAGCGAACTACAAACGCCACAAAGGGTCTAGTCTTTGAGGACTTTGGAAGTTACCGAAAACGCCGGTGACTGTCATGTTGTCTGCCCACTTACTGTACAGTTTTGTCTCAAAATGGTCAGCCAGCCAGATTTTGATTCCCATGTTGGTTGCTGGTACATCTGGCTGAAGCTGAGCAGACCCAATTTTTTGCCAGAGTTACTTCTTTTTTTCATTGCCAAAACCGTTGATGTGGCTTTTAATCCACTGCACTGTCATCGTGTCCGCTAAATCAACGATCTTGCACACGTCATCTATAATGACGCCAAGTGCGTGGTACCAGCTCACTTTCTCAAGATATTAAGAGCAGATCTTGAGGCAGAGTAGACTATTACATCAAATCCCACAAGCGCCTACCTCTGCATTGTTTGGTTCAAACTTTGAAGGGTGCATTAAATTTCGATGCTGTAGTCCAATAGGATCCGTAAACTTCCTGGTTTTGGTGGCCATGCTGTTGTTACAGGTTGAGCGCACCATACCCCAAATTCCTTTCAGACATGTTGGAAGAGTCATACCCGTCCATAGTCTCTAGGTTAGCCTCTTCCTGTACATGTTGTCAAGACCAGATCACATGAGCATGTTATTTATCTGGGTTGATAATTTAAACAATAAGCAATAATCTTTTTCCATAGGAACTTCTCCATATATCGCATTTTATTGTGTATATAAAATAAGAATATTTAATAGATCAAAAAAGAAGAAAAAGAAATTATTTGGAGCGAGAAAGAAACGGATTTTTTTACTCTGCTTTTTGTTTTCTGTGTCCAATTGGAGTGGAACTACCCCAGACGACATTTCGCTACACATGTGAAGGCTGCGTTTCATCACTGTTGCAACAGTATAATGCCTAATGTAGAAGAAGATGTGATGGATTTGCATACGGTCGATTGTTTGGGATAAGGGTCAGTCTTTCGTTCATCCTGATGTATGTCGACTGTTTTCTCGGATACCTCTACTTAATTCATGAATGACGATCGTGTCAGTCACCTGCCCGTTACCAAGGTATGTTGCATCTCGAACGACGGTTCCTTGTCTTTTGTTCGATAATTCTTAATATTGCATTTTCTCTTCTAATTTCAAATGGCTCTACATTGGCTAAGACTTCAACAGCAGTTGTTGGTGTGGTTCTGAATGCACCTAAGATGAAATTCAAGGCGTCAATCTGGGCTATGCTCGACTTTTCAAATGCGGTGTTGCTTGAAAATGACTAGACCGGCATGCTGTAGACCATTACCGATCTATGAGTGCTTAGAAACGATCTAAGCCAACTTGCTTTTTTTGTCTTAATTTCAACCGCTGCATGAACCAGTGACAGCCAAAATGTCTGAAATTTGTAGCAAATGCAGTCGGTGAACATCTTTATTCATGATTACTTTATATAATAACTTCAGAAGGCTAACCATGATAGTTATATATATATATATATAGATGTATATGAATACATTTACGGAACATACCACAAACTAAACATCCTTCACTTGAAATTTTTTTTGTAGAAGTATGTTTTTTTTTAAAAACTAAACACATTTTGGATGAAACATCCCACCCTCTTCATCACAGATACTTAGGATTGGGCCGTTCCAGAGAATTTCTTTCCACTTTGTACGAATGTACCAGCATATTCTCCCTGAAGTCACAAATCTTGATGAGAACCAATAAATCCCCGATGTCGCTAAGAGCATTCAGTGAATGGATGTTTGAAATATTTTAAAATAACGTCTTTTGTTCAAATTGTTGTATTTTTTTTCTCTTAAAATTTATAATTCAATCAAAAATCATTTCCATTTGGATCAATGAAACAATCTTATTTTATCGTAAATATATATATAGTGTTCTAGATTTAAAACTACCTTTTGACATTTTAATCTGTTACGATGACACTTGTAAGCAATTAAATGTTCAAAGATAACAGCTGAAATTCTTTTCGTAAAAAAAAAAAAATTGCATCCTATATGCCTTCATTGGCAACTTTATGGGACGTTTGAATAAAAATAAAGAGATGCAATTAATAAAAAAAACAGTTAGACAAGGCAATATTAATATAACTGTGTGTCATTGTTTTCGCCTCATTTAAAAGTCTATAAAGCGTTTTAGATTGTATCACATTTTTTTCACGTGAGTTGTTAATCGTGAGGTCAGAGCGTGAAGTTGGTTCATGCTGTTGAGCTTCAGTGTATGCTGAATGTTTAGCCTGGATATAAAAGAACGATGTTTTTGTTAATCGATATTTAAAGGTGGGACAATCTGGAACATCGATTGCAGTGAGAGTCGCCAGTCTAGAGGATTTTGTCTCTTTTTGCCTTTGGATAGTATTTTTCTGCTGCATGAATTATGTAGGAAGTGTCTTTTGCAAGAAGTTGATGTTTTAATTCATGAAAATAAATACACAATTTACAATGGGCTATTCAGTGTTCGAGTGACTTGACCAGGACAGAGGCGAAAATTAATACAACAGGTCCGAAATGATGTTAGACACAAATTATTCGCAATCGGAGCTAGTAGACAAACAAAAGAAGGCTGTAAAACTTAAATGATTAATAGACGAATAAATAACTGTATGTATTGACACTGCAGAAGATTCCGTGTGGATCGGTGCCAATGACATTGATGTAGAGGGAACATGGATGTGGGAAGACGACGGTGTTGCTATTGAGTTGTACGAACTTTGGTTTTCCAACTTATCTGAACCAACCAACGGAACGGCCGAAGACTGTGCGGACCTCTATAGGCAGAGTGCTACTGAATCTGGGATTTCTGATGACCAGTGTAGCGATCAATATCCTTTTCTGTGCATGGAGAAAGGTACTTCAATTTTTTAATGTATAGCTTTGGATTGTAACTAACATTTCTTTAAAAAAAACAATACATCCAGTACAAAGGCACCACATGGGAATAACGCTTTTAAATTTTATAAAAATCTAACTTATTTATGGATAAATGTACGTAAAAAAACTTAAAGTACAAATGATTTTTTTTTTTTTTAAAGTTCAGAAAAATATAAAGTATTTCTGATCAAATGAAAGTTCACTTTTTTTAATTAAAATACCAGTTTTGCCTTATGTTGTATGGCTCTGATGCTCATTTCACACGACGAAATTTGTGTCAAATATTCGTTAAATTTCTTTTTAAACGAACTTATTTGTAACGAAATATAATGTGTCCAAAAAGAAATTGGATCATAATTTGACGACAATATAATAGCGAGAGAAGAGCATTAATATTGTATTACACAAACTTGAGTTACATATTTAAATCAAATTCTGCCATGCACGTTTATTTCCATAGACTTGACAGATGAAACGACATCTCCTAATCAGGAGGCTTTAACATGCAAAAAAACTGACCTTGCTACAACGGAACCTACACCAAACGACCCAGCTACAACCGAACTTACTACAAACAACCTGCTACAAGCGAACCTACAACAAACGACCCTGCTACAACTGAACCTACAACAAACGACCCTGCTACAACTGAACCTACAACAAAAGACCCTGCTACCACCGAACCTACAACGAGCGCCCCTGCTACAACCGAAACTACGACAACCGCCGCTGCTACAACCGAACCTACAACGAACGCCCCTGCTACAACCGAACCTACCACAACCGCCCCTGCTACAATTGAACCTACATAAAACGCGAAAATAACCTCCACGCCAACATCAAAATGTCTAAACAATGGCGCAGAGTTCATCGACTTTAATATTCTCTTATTTTTTCTTTTCAGCGTGGTCATTTTCATCGTCATTTGACGACAAGTGGCTTGTTGTGAGTTAATTAATTTTTTTATGCAAGTCAGGAATTTACTTTTTCATAGCAGAAATTAATACAACATTTTTCTAAGGAATAAATGGCGCGTTTAGTGTGATCACCTTCTATTCTTTAGTTGTTTGAAACTTTATGTTGCCTCTTTAAATTATCCGTGTTTTATGCTATACAGGATATTGTTTTCTTGCTCTTACGGAATTTAGAGCAACTTTTATCAACATATGATTGTACAAATACTAATACATGATTTACATAAGAGAATAATAATGTAAAAAGATGCATATAGATAGCTCAGTGTAAATCTTCACGTAAATCATTTCAACTGATTTTGACCTATTTTCAAAATTAGTACGAAACCACATTTTCTAATTAAAATTGTGCGATATGATGATGTTTGAATATAATGCTGTTTGTAAAAAAAAAAAACTAATGAAAAAGAGTCTTATAATTCTATTTATTTAACATGAAAATAATTACTGTCAAGAATAATTAAAACGTTTAAATCATTCCGTAAACTTAATTTTTTTTAGAAACATTTTTTCTTCAATTGA